CTGTAGTCTTATGTATGTGTCTGTACATATATACAGGCACAGATGAGAAGGTATACGTGTTTGTGGCTGTAGTCTGATGTATATGTCTGTACATGTATACAGGCACAGATGAGAAGGTATACGTGTTTAGTGGCTGTAGCCTTATGTATATGTCTGCACACGTGTACAGGCACAGATGAGTAGGTATACGTGTTTTGTGGCTGTAGTCTGATGTATATGTCTGTACATGTAGACAGGCACAGATGAGAAGGTATACGTGTTTTGTGGCTGTAGTCGGATGTGTATGTCTGTACACGTGTACAGGCACAGATGAGAAGTTATACGTGCTCAGTGGCTGTAGTCTGATGTATATGTATGTCCATGTATACGGGCACAGATGAGAAGGTTTGCGTGTTTAGTGGCTGTAGTCTTATGTATATGTCTGTCAGTACAAGCATTTGAACACTCGCATATACATACACGCACAATTGGCTGGCGTGAATAATAAGACATCTATGGTTGTATTACTGCCTCATGAACGCATTTCATGTCTTCACAAAGCGCCGTGTCGGCATATATTGGTAATAGTATATCATACATTGGTAATAGTATATCATATATTGGTAATAGTACATCATATTTGATAATTCCTATACATCCGTTATACATAGAGCACTAATCACACCTTTGCAGCTGATATTACAATCCTTTCGAGATATACCATCCATGTGCATACCCTCTCCTACATCCTCGAGAGGACTGTCTTCACCTTCAGCCGAGTGTGGGCAGGCGAAGTATACACTTGAGCATGGAAAGGCATAGGTATATAAATAAGGTTTCATAAGATTAGCAGAACTAGGAGTCTGGCCTATAACAGGCATATCGTTCGTACGCTAGCCTTGCACATAGAGGGTTATGGACACTAATGCATTTGGCAATACAAGTCTGCATATAAACATACTACATACGTATGTCGTGTACCTATAAGTCTATAGACCATAATATACTTGAGAATACGAGGCGGATGATTTATATTCATGCATTCTTGTATTTCTTCAGAACGGTCAATCTTTCCCTAAGCCGAGTGTGGATAAACGCAGTTTACTAGAGCGTGTGGGGGGCATGTCGAACGCCATTCAATCGCTGCGAGAAGTGATCCTATACCCTACCCAATACGCGGAGATGTATAAAGACATGAATGTCGATGGCATAGGTGTGTGTCTATAGTGGTGACAGATAGAGATGTCCCTATACGTGTATAAACGCACTTAAACTTAAACTGCTCTTGTGAGTGTTCTGTGTGCGTATGTATGCTTGCGTGTCTTTTTCACGGTCACGTGTCAACACTTATGCGGCGCTGTTTGCGAGTGTACAGTATTGAACGCCATACGAGAGGTGATGCACCATGTGCGTCAACACGATGTATTTGTGCACAGTGTTGCATATTTCAGATTCAAGCGTGGTCACTGAATGTTATTGCAGCCAGCATAGTCACACAAACATGTATGGCTAACATGTACTTTCGTATTTCTACTAAACCTACTCCGCACTTGG